TTTGGGAGTATGGCCATTTTCACAATGTTGGTTCTTCCTATCCATGAGCATGGAATATTTTTTCATTCACTGAAATCTTCTTGGATATCTTTTTTCAGAGTACTGTAGTCTTCATTGAAGAGATCTTTGACTTCTTTTGTTAGATTGATTCCTAAATATTTCAATTTCTTGGATGTTATTGTGGAAGGTATGGTTTCCTTAATTGCAGACTGGTCTTGAATTCCCAACAGTCCTCCTGCCTCAGCCTCCTGAGTGCTGGGATTACAGGCGTGCGCCACCACGCCCAGCACTTTTTATTTTCCGGTACCGGGAATCAAACTCACGACCTTATGCTTGCCAGGCAGGCGCTGTGCCGCTGAGCTAAATCCCCAGCCCCCAAGAGGACAAGAAATTTGGAGAAGACAATTTCCAGGAGGCTTCTGAATCTCAATCATGTGGCACCAGAGTCTCCAGTAAATACTGACTGGTGCCAAAAGGCTGGTCAGGTGGTGGGTGAAGGGTGAATATTCTGTTCTTCCAGTTCCATACTAAGAAAGGGAAAAGAGGTGCAGTACGCAGTGTGCTGAGCATTGTTCTAGGGGCAGTGTGTGTGCATGTGTGTGATCCATATTTATCTTCTCTTTCCCTGTGTTGTTGTCACTGCTTAGACGAGGTAATTTGAGAGTGGATCTCTTCGGTTTTTAATTTGGTATGGTTCTATTCACATTTCTACCTATTCACTGCACAGTAATGGTATTTGCCTTTGCCCTGAGCTCCCACTTGGGTGAGATGTTCGCCTTTGCTCTCTATAGAGTGACAACTCAATTTCCCTGCCCCAGAACCTGCAGATCACCCTTACTCTGCTAAAATGAAAGTGTGCAGAGCGGACCAAGGCAGTAGAGCACTCAGCCCAGCCTCTCACACAGGAGGAAACTGAGGCTGTGGGCAGGTAAAGTGACCAGGGTCTTACAGCTGGTTAAGAGGCAGAGTAAAGCTCAAATCCTCGTCCACTCTTACAGCATTTGTCCCACAGCACTGAGTCTGTCGTGTCGGGTGGACAGTGATTAGGAGGTGGCGTGGCACTGGGCCTTGTGGCTGATTCAGAACAAATTATGCTTCGTCTTCTGTGACTCAGGGTGTGGGTAGGACGTGCCAGAAGAGGTGTTCTAGCTTTCGACCTTTCTTTTTCGCAGGAGAACTGGTCCTGCCTAGTTCCAGGGTAACCTACATCCTTGCATCCTTGCTCATAATTCCAGTTTAGACTGAACCCTTTTGGGTTCTACCAATCTCAGAGTCATTTTCAGTCTTATGCCAAATAACACTTACTGCATTCATCCTTAATACCTTGTGACCTAGTGACATCATAGCTGTCCTAAACTTGCAGCAATCCTAACATAGCATAATTCATTCCTCATTTTGGTAATGCTGTTGTAAACAAATCTACTGCATAGCCGGTTGTATAAAAATTAGCACAGTTATGTATAGTGTATAATAAAAATAGTAAACGACTTACTGGTTTATGTATTTACTGTGCTATATTTGTGTGTGTGTGTGTGTGTGTGTGTGTCCCTGTGTGTACATGCACACATATGTGCACACAAACTCATTGTGGTTTGAGCCTCGGCTATGTCCCTAGCTAGACTATACTTTTAATTGTTATATTAAAGTGTACATCTTCTTTTTAAAAAAGTTAATGATAAACAGCCTTGGGCAGGTCCTTAGGATTCCAGAAGAAGGCATTTTTATCATAGGAGGTGACGCTCCATGCCTGTTAGTACCCCTGGAGAACTTCCAGGGGGACACAATGACAATTCTAACCCTACGTAGGCCTACACTAATATGTGTATATGTGTGTTTGTGTCTTCATTTTTAATAAGAAAGTTGAAAAGTAAAAAATAAAAATAAAAATAGACTAAATCATATAGCCTCGATGTGTGACAGGTGGTGCCATCTAGGTTTACGCAAGGACACTCAGCTGGATGCAGTAGTGCATACTTATAATTCAGCTACTTAGGAGGCTGAGGCAGAAGGGTTGCGAGTTCCATAGCCAAACCCTGTCTCCCAAAAAGAAGTATATAAGGGTACTGTGATGTTCTCACAAGAGTAAAATCATGTAATGATGGATTTTTTACAGCGCATCCCATTGTTAAGTGATGCACAATTATATTAAGTTTTGGGGTATGTTTAGCTTTAATATTTAGTTGAAATTAGCTAATTTTTAATACTTTTTCCTTGCTACTGCCCTGCCATACCTGATCTATTGTGAACATGTTCCAGCTTCCATAGGTCATTTCTACTTCTTAATGTTTTGATATTTGAATATTTAGTTGGGGCTTGTTTTCTCTATAACATTGCATTGGAGTATTATTCTCTTGAGCAAGCCTGTTAAGAATTGTTGACAGCTTAGAGGCAGCTAGGCTTGAGGCCCTTATGTTAAATAAAGTCAAAGAAATTCAGATAATTTTTACTTTTTTGTCTGGGGCCATAGAGATAATAAGAAACAGAGCCTGGACCAGAACTAGTATTTTTCTGTGTTCTCTGCGTGTGGTGCCGGTCCTCACTGCCTCTGATAGGGTCAGCCCCACAGGGCCAAGAGGGGAATGGCCTACTCCATTGGAAACAAGTCAGAGGGTAGTTTTCCTTCCCATGTTGCAGTTGAGCAACATGCAGATTTGTTAGATATACATAATGTGAATGTCATCCTTACACTCTACAGTGAACCCATAAATGAATGTGAAAGACCTTCTGGGAGCTCTGAGTGGGAAAGAGGTAATAGCAGCAGTTGGCAAAGTCTTGCCATGAACTGTGAACGTGTTGTAATTTCAGTTTGGGGCTGTGCTGCTTCCTGTAATTTGAGGCTGGCAGTGCTTCACTGCAGCACCTTTCCATGTGGAATCGCCACCTGTGTCCAGATGCTTAGGCTAGCATTGAAGTATTTGGTTTGCTTTGACTCAGAGTGCCACTTGCTCAAACACTGAAAAGAAAACATAATAAAACAGGCTGACAGTTTCTTCCATAGAGTGTATACCATAAAAATGTGCAGAGGTCTCGGTTTGTTTTTCTCTGAGCTCAGCATTTTCTCCATCATTTTTGCAAGACGCTCACTGTGACTTCAAGGTAAGTGTTCATCTCTGTGTCATTGGTGAGGAAGGTGAGACCGAGGGAAGCCTAGTGGCTTGTAAAGTCTCAGACTTCCCTCTCATTCTGTTCTCAAGAGCAGAGCAGTTCAAAGCCAGCGTTCTTTTTCTTTACCAAACTGTATCATCTACCTGGGTGCTAAGCCTTACCTGTTTCTTGGACTTTTTCTTTCTGTCTGCCCAAAACTTAATTATACTTTTTTTCCCCTGAAATAATTTATAGGTTGATGTTCTTAAGGTAACAGCTCTTCCTCTATTGAAACAGTTTGGGATTGATGGTGAATCCTTTGAGCTAAAGGTAAGAAAATATGAACTACTGGCTGTATTTATTTGCATAAAATATTTTCTTACCAACTCTTTAAAAAAAGAGCTCTGTGGCTCAGTGTGTGTGTGTGTGTGTGTGTGTGTGAGTGAGTGACATTTGAAGTCACCATTTATCAGAAGATCCGCAGGGCTCCCGAACCAAATACTATGGGCTTTTTTTAGTTTTGTGGTTTTTGTTTTACATTTTTTGAGACAGGGTCTTGCTTGCTGTGTAGTTGAGGCTCACCTTAAACTCGCTATATAGCCCAGGCTGGCTTCAAACTGGTGACAGTTCTGCCTCAGCCTCCTGAGTGCTGGGATTAGAGATATATGACACTATGCCTGGCTCAACACTATGAACTCTGAACTGAAAGAGACCCTTTAGTGATAAAAATAGTAGCCAATAATTATGTCTCCCTTACTTTGTAGTAGGTACCTTGTGGTAGGAGGTATTGTTAACATTTTATACATATTTATTCTTGTACTTCTTGCAGTAGTTCTGGCCAATGGCAGTTAGCTAAGAGATAGAGCAACAAAGATTCTGGCCGTACTGCATCCCTACGTAGATAGAATTTGTGTCCAGGAGCTCCCAAGCTGTATATCCCTGAGAATTTTAAGTATTTCAAAATATTTAGATGTGATTTAAGCATCTGTTTGCTATTCAAAAGAATTATATCAATCCAGTATGGTAACCCTGTGCTGTTTTAGCATTTCCATTTTTTCAATTGATGTTTTTAAATATTGGAAATAGCTTTTTTTAATTACATAGGGTTTTGATACATTAGTTATTTGCATGGGAGGAGAAAAAGGTATTCTTGATGGTTAAGAAATGAGATCTGCTGTTGCAATCAGATCTGCTGATGAACTAGGATGAAAAAATAGATCCTGGTGGTGACGTGACCTGCTGGGGGTTATGTAGATGAGAGAGAGGCAAAGCCACTCCGATTTGGACTTGCTGCTGAGCATGTGTCCTCTTGCAGCCTACATGAGGTGCTGTTACTTTTGAAGGGATTAGCGAGTCGCCTGTGGAAGAGCTGTCCGTCTTGCGAGAGGAGCCCATAGATGAACCTTCCCGGGATGGGTGCCAGGGGAACCCTGCTTTGTTACATCTTGTTTTCATCCCTCTACTCCTCACATTGTTTTGTGCAGATTGTGAGACGAGGAATGCCTCCTGGAGGTGGAGGTGAAGTATTTTTCTCATGTCCTGTCAGGAAGGTCCTGAAGCCCATACAGCTCACAGATCCAGGAAAAATCAAACGCATCAGAGGAATGGCGTATCCTTTGCATTGGGTTTAGATTTCTTATTTATTTTCTTGCCTCTGTAAGAATGACTAACAGCTTTTCTTCCTCCTGAGGTTGATTATATTTTTGAAGACAATCTTGGGATAATTTTAACATGAAGTATTGTTAGTTGAGATATGTTTTATCTGCCTCACCATAATTAGATGTATTTGTTCATTCCTCCCCCCAACCCCCCAGTTAATACCTAAGCAAATGGCTGCTGTATATGAGATCTCTCCCTGGTGCTTTGGTTTGGAGGCCATGAGTATACTGCGCGCTCTCCCTCCCTCCCTCCTTCGCAAGAGCCCGTCATCTTGACTGAGGAAACAAACTGTGCAAACACAGAGTTTTGACATGAAGTGTAAAACAGCACAGGAGTGTGTGTAGAGGGCTGAGGGAGCTGAGAGTAGTGAATGGCCAATTTTATCTGGAGGATTTAGGAGGGCTGAGATAATAATTAACAATATCTGCTATTTGACTCTTACTCTGTGTACTTTGATAATCACTGTATAAATTTACTCACATCCTATTTTATAGATGGGGAAACTGAAGCTTGAGAAGCTTAAGGAATTCGTTAATAATGTCATGTGGCAGGAATGGCCGAGCTGGGATGTAAACCCTGTCAGTCTGACTCTTGAGCCCAGGCTTTTACCCTGTGCTTTTTCTATGGAAAGGAGAAGACATCTGAATGGACCTCGTGAAGTGGGGCAGGAAGAGAAGACTGCTTCAGGCCGAGAAGTGGGTCTGTGTAGATGTAACGTACTGTGGCCCTGCGGCGTGGCAAGCAGTGCAGTGTGGCTGGGATTCAGGTGGGTCGGGAGCAGCTGATGGAGAAGACGAGGGGTGAGGACAGGCAGGAGCCAGTGAAGAGCGGAGGGCCGTGCCAAGGAGCTGGGATTTATTCCAGAGGCAGTGATTGCCATCTGGAGAGTGAATTTGTACATTATGAGGGCAACCTTGGAGGTAGTGTAGAAACTTTGGCTCATGTGCAAAATTATGAAACTGTGAGTTCAAAATCACCACCTAATGGTAACCACTTAGAGGCAAACGTAACAGAGTTATTGTGCCCTAACGAGAGACAGAGTAGTAGCCAGAGGACTGGTGAGAGCTACTAGTATGACAGGTTCCAGAGGCAGAGTGGATGGGGCAGGGTTCACCCAGTCTGTGAAAGGAGCGGGGAATTGTTGAGGCTGGTTCTGGTGTTTCTTGCTAGGGACCTGAGTAAAGATACTTGCTCTGACCGTAGCTGTAAAAGTTTGGGGTGGGGTGGGATAGAGGTGAAGGTAGGTTCAGTTTTATACATAGTTTGAGGGTCCTTTCATGGAGCTCCTGGGTGATTAGTGTAGAAAGGAACTTAGATCTGTCACTTGGGATCAAGGAGAGGGCTGGAAATGATCTGTAGTCAGCTACTGCAGAATGCAGAGCAGTGTGGAATCCCGAGAGACTGCCAACACTTAAAAGCAAAAGCAAACTAAAGAGGAGAATGAAGAAAACACAGCCCCTTGGGGACCTAGGCCAGCACCTTCCAGGGCTCTGAAGAGTCAGCGTTAGATAGGTGCGTTGTGTAGAATAACGGGGAACTCTGCTTAGGGAATTCTTGGTTAGGATTTCAGATACTGAAAATGGTAAAATTCTAGGTGCTGACAAGAGGCCTCGGGGGACAGGCACTGGAGGCCGTGGAACTGGATGGGCCAGCAGTGATTTTCCTAGTGGGAGCCTGACGGGGAGGAAGTAGACCAGAAAACCTGCTTCTCGTGGGGCGGGTGGGAGCATAAACTCATCTTGCCTTTCACAGGAGGTTGGGAGATGGTTTTATTATAGGAAAGTCAGTGTGGCATGGGTTGAGTCTTCAGAGGCCTTGATTAACTTTAGCAGTACGTGGTGAACGATGTGGAATGGAGCAGGGTACACAGCTGTGAGGAGGCGGCAGTGGTTGTTGAGATGAAAGAACAAACTTGTGGCGCCGCATGAAGTTCTTCGTCAGAATCATCAGGAGCAGAAGATTATAAAAAAATCCCTGTACTGTGGTCCATTTCTGCACGGCTGACCTAGGGTGACCTAAGAAAGAGCCAAGCCTTGCCTGGATGGGAATGTGGCATGTGGAGGGCAGTGGTTCTTGTGCTGGGAACCTTAGCTCAGTGCGTAGTTCATTGGACCAGGTGGCTTCTGAAACTGGTGTTCAACTCTAACGTTCTTGGATATGGAGGACCTGGAATGAGGTCTTGAGAAGAGTATTAAGAACTGGAAGTACAATGTGACTGGATTTGTTTTTTTGAAAACCAAGTGTGTCTTTTCTACTGATCCATACCAGTCACTTAGAGATGGATCTCATTAACCGCGACGTTGTATCCCACTGTACAGAGAACTAAAACATCAAATCCTGCATCTGAGTTATTTTTCATTTCTCTCTATTATCAAAAAGTGCTGCAGTTAATTGGCTTTGTATACAAAATCCTATATGCTTTGAGGATCATTTCAGGGATTTTTACATTTTTTTTTTCTGAGTTAGTCGTACTGTATCCTTCAGGCTGGCCTTGAACTCACTATGGAGTCCAGGCTGGCCGGGAACTCATGGGACCGCCCTGCCTCAGCTTTCTGAGTGCTGGGATCATAGATGCGGGCCACCGTACTCAGTCATTTCAGGTTTTTATTGTCCTCATTTGAGATGTGTTTCCCTGCTGGTCTGTTACGGCAGTGCGCTCTGTTCGGGATCCAGTCCCTATGGTTTGGAAATGTGATTTCCAGTAGTGTGCCCTACTTTGGCGCAGTTTCGTTGTAGTGATCCAGGTTTCATGGGTGGAGACCATTGTACCAGGCTGCCCGCTGTGTTCTCTGGACTGTGTCTGCAAAAACCTCGTGAGTAGTCCTTTGATAATGGTTTGGGGACAGGGGAGCCTCCAGGATTTTATTGAGGAAAACGTAAAACTGGAAGAGCTCTGGTGTCTGGCCCCCTGGGCACAACTTTCTTTCTTCATGGCTTCTCTTGCTAGTGTTCTTTGAAACTTCCCTGTGTACTGCCTTGGCCAGAAAGGAACGTGCAAGGCCCCATATCCTTCCCCCCTGGCGGCAGAGATGGACCTCTGAGCCATCCCTGGTGCCTCCTTTCTGAGTAGCAGAGGCTTTCTCTCTACTCCCTAGAGAAGCGAGCATAGCGTCTTGCTCAAATTCCTGTCTCTAGACCAAATGTTCCAGCTGCTGGTCAGCAGAGCTGCCCATTTAATAAACAGTTGAAGGAATGTGGGTTTGAGTGATCACCTTCTTTGCCAGTTTTGGAGCCTGGGGAAAAAAAGAGCTGTCTTTGGAAAAAACTTTCGTTTTTGTGGTTTTTTTCTTGTAAGACTGGTTGACTGTTGAACTGAGGTTGATGGCTTGTTTTCCCCATCGGAGGGCTTGAGCTGAGAGAACTGGTTTTTACTGAGCTGTCCCCACCCCAGCCCCAGTTTATCTTTATCCCCTTGGATTCTTCAGAATGATGACCAACTGGCCAGGGCCTAGCAGGGTGCTGTCGTTGGTTTCTGCCAGCAGCTGTGACTGGACAGTAAGTTGCCTTTTATTGAATGTCACCCACTCTGGTTGTCCTTGCTGCCTGATGTGGAGTGAGAGAGAAAGGAACCGAGTTTCAGTTTCCTGGCGCTGTTCCAGAGCTTATGATTTGATATTTAAGAGTTAGGTGAAGAAGCTGGGATAGAAGTAGTTGAAGAGGATGAGTTGGGATTTGTGGGGCAATGTTTCCTTTACTTGACTGTAGGGAACATACTTTGGGAATATCTGCCTGCCTCCCCTTCCGTGCCCTCTCCTCCGTTCCCGTCCCCTCTCCTCCGTTCCCTCTCTTCTCCTCCCTTTCCTTTCCTTTCTCCCTCTCTTTTATGTACTCCTGGTTTTTATTATCTCTGGAGGGGTAAGAGGAAAGTGTTTTTTGAAAGTCAGATCAGTTTAATTTTGAGTAAATATCTTAAGTGGGGTTTTTTTTTTTTCTATCTTAATTCTGAACTAGAAATTCTGGCTCTTGCCACAGGTTGCTATAAGCATAAAATAAAATAATAGCAGGTATGAAAGAACTTTGGGAGTTCCGAATGCTGTGGGATTGTGGTAGGATAGTGACATCTTCTGAGCTCTTCTGAGGAGCGTGAGTAGGCTCAAGCCGCAGGAGGACAGCACCCACCGGGTGCAAAGGGCATGAGACTTGGGAGTGTTTGCTTAAAGTGTGTGTGGTCAAAAGTACGTTCTGGACAGAAGAGACGATGATGTAACTGGGCTCTGTGTGTGTATTGAAAAATTCTTCTTTGCTCTTTCCTCATTTCAGGTTTGTCCGTTGAGTCAAGTTAAATATTTGTAAGCATTTCTGAGTACAAAAGTAGTGTATTAGAGAGTCGTGAGGGACACGGAAGTAAAGCCCCTTCCTTTCTGGGTGTGTGGTCCCTTTGAAGAGTAAGAGCAAGATGTGTACATGTGAAGGCAGACCCTGTATGTTAAGTTCAAGTGGAGACCATACTATTTGCGTGCCAGCTGGAGGCCATCAGGTGAGAGGGGGAGCTCCGGGCTGGAAGAACAGGAGAAGGCAGTTCCGGTCAAAGCACCTACGCAGTTTGAATGCGTGGAGAGGGCAGGGGTGCAGGCTTGAGGAGGAGCACACTGAGCAGAGTAGAGGGTTAAAACTGCGGATGAGAGGTTAGGGGTCACTGAAATACTCAGCACGAGGGATGGCTCTGCGCACGAAGTGTTCGTGGTGGGTCAAACAGGAGAGCTAGATGCCAGGGCAAGTTCCTTGAACATGTTTTGTTTCTGTAGCTCTCATGAAAATTAAACGTGTTGTTCATGGTAACTCTTGAACAGCTGGGCAGAAACGGACAGATCACACACCTTGCTCTATCTGTGGATCTTGCCACGTGGATTTGTACTGAGGTGGTCGGAAGGCCATGTGTTATTTTTCATTTCTTTAGTCCTACAAATACAGCCCTTGACTGTACTTTGCACATTGAAAGTGCGAAATATTTAACTTTTACATTGATGCATAAGGTTAGGAAGAGTGAGTCTCTGTACAGAGTCTAATTTTAGGTACTAATTTCTATGGTCCTCAAGCACCAGACTTTTCACTTGGTTACTATTCTTTCCGCCTGCGGTGCCCTGTTGTAGAAGTGCCAGTTACCTGTATGTTTGATAATTATCAGTAACAGGTAAAGGAAGTATCATACACTAATGGAGTCATTCTTACACGATAGAAAAAAGGCTCTGTAAGTTTGAAAAACTTACTTAGACCTTTATCAACAGCAGCTGCCTTGCTCTCTCACTAAATATTTTTCTGTTTCCTTTGTCACCGTACCAGAAAGTGGATTGGGATTGGCCCAGCATTGTGAATGCACAGAATAGAAAAGTGTTCTCAGGTGTCGTATTTAAAAGAAGTCTAGGGCTGAGGGTGTAGCTCGGTAGTAGAGAGCTTGCCCAGCTTGAGCGAGATTCTGGGTTTGTTCCCCAGTACCATGGGGAAAACAAAAAAGAACAGAAAAAAGGGAGCCTGGATCATGACCTACAGAGAACCAGACATATTTACTTCTTCAAGAATTGAAGCTTTTAAGTCAGAGTTGGGGAACTCTAACTTTATATTTTCCATTCTCTAATTTTCTCATCATGACCATTTAGGCCTTTAACAGTAAGAACAAAAAATAATTGAATTATGGTATTAAAAGGTAATTAATTAAATGCAGTTGGAAAGCAATGGAATTATAAGCTCATTTGTTGTTATTCAAAAAATATTTGCCAGCTTTGGAAGTGACTTGCCTCTGTCCTAGAATCTAAGTAGCATGATGACATCCTTAACTGCAGCGCGCAGGTACTCTGTCCGTGTGTCACCTCAGATGGCAAACCGGATTGTGGATTCTGCAAGGAGCGTCCTCAACAAGTTCATACCTGATATCTACATTTACACGGACCACATGAAAGGAGTCAACTCTGGGAAGTAAGTGACTGCCTTCTGGAATATTCTTCTGCAGCTGTCTGAGGCTTTTTCACGTGCTGTCCTGAAGTTAAAACTGCCAGCTTGGAGGCTGGGCCTCAGAGGAAGAATGATTTCAGAATTAATTTCCTTCTGACTCATTGCTCTTGTCACCAACAGGCATTTCTTGAGTGCCTGTCACATGGAAAGTATCCCAGCTGCTAGTGCTGGGAGCCAAGGGTCCAGTGCTTATCTTCGGAGAATTTAAACCTGTCTGTTAACAAACTGCCTCAGGTTTTAAATGACGTCTGCACTCTGCTCCATCAAAAGATGGAGGTGGACAGAATTCTTCTGCCCTGAGCAAATAGAGAATGGGGAGAAATCCTTTGCTGTCTAACTGCAGTTCAGCCTTTCTGTCCATCTGTGGGGCAAACGCTCCTAGATCCAGAGCAAGTTGTTGCAGATTTCAGTTGTTTCAATTTCAATTTACTTAAAGCTGTCGTGACTATAAATAAATAAATGAAAGAAATAGAAATTTTAAAAATTTAATAAAGAAAATCAGACTGAAAATAAAAAACAATGATTTATATAATAAAAATGCCTACTTTAGGGTTTGCTTGTATATTTAGAAACCAGGAATTTAGGGATTACAAAAATATTTAGCGAAAAACTGAAGGAACAGTATAGTGAATACCTGTGTATCTTCCTGTTGCTTTTAATTCACAGTGAATATTTTACCGCTTTTGCTTTACTTCTTTCTGAGTTTTCTTTTCTGCTGAGTCATTTTAGTATGAATGATGGCAACGTTGTTTTGAATCTAAAATTTTCAGGTCCTGTCTCCTAAAAACATCAGAGTCCACGGTTAGCTACTGTGAGTTAAGAAGTCACCTTTTCCTAAATGGCAGCAGAATTGATCCTTTTCATAGCTTTCCATCCAAGGTTTCTTTTAACTTCTGCAAAAAGAAGGAAAGAGAGAGGAGGTGGGGTGAGGGGTTGAGTGGGAGTGCAGGTCTTTGACTTTCCTGAGGCCCAGGGGGAAGATGAAGAGGTATCAGCAGGTCAGTGATGGGCCGTAGTCCAAAGGAACAGGGGTAGTGTTGTCAGAGGGTAGGGCTGGGAAAGAGTTTGCATACAAAACTTACCTTTTCTTCTGCACCATTGGAAATGTTAATGATGGTCCCAAACCTTTGATTTATTGCTCTAATATTAGCAGTCTTTTCCTCATTTACAAGTGAAGGTGATAATGTTTGCATTCCAGAGTTATTATAAGCATTAAAAGATCATATAAGTGACTAGGCATGGTTGTGTAATCCCAGTGCTGGAAGGCTGAGGCAGGAGGATTGCAAATTCAAATCTATCTAGCCTGGGCAACTTAGTGGCTCAGTGAGACCCTGTCTCTAAAAGGGGAATGGAGGGTGGGGTGGACTGGGGATATAGCTCACTACAAAGGCCTTCTGTTCAATCTCAGTACAGCAAAAGCCAAAATAAAACATGTATGTAAGCTTTTAATACAGTGCCTCACAAGTATTAGGTGCTACAGCGTGATACCCGCGCATGCTGGTTTTTCCGTTCCTCCTCCATAGGTATGGAATATGTGTCAGCCGTCAGCTCTTTCCTGGAAAGGTGATTGCAGGTGCTGGCAGAGGCTAGGGGAGGCTAGGGAGCTGTAAGAGCTGTGTGAATGCCCTGATCTTCTCAGGCCCTTCTCTGTCTGCTCTTAGCTTTACCAAAGAGTGGACAGTCATAAAGCAGAGCAGCCGAGAAGTCCACGCTGCCTCCCATTAGCTATAATGTGGCTTTTTAATAGTGCCACTGACTCAGTTGACCATAATGCGCCATCAGGGTCCGTACTGCTAATAGTGAGTAGAAGCCTTACATCTGGATGAAGCTATGGCTGTGCAGTCTTGTGAGTCACCAACTCCAACCTTCATTTTAAAAAGTGCATATAAAACAATGTATGATTTGTATTTAGTTTTCTAAATCTCAACTTACAGATGAAGAATGTTGGTTTTCCTTTTCTGTTGTGAAATTATGAAGTCCTGGCTGGATGGGTGTTTTCCTCTTGTTTCAGTGCTGTGTGCACCTAAGTTAGGCTTGTTCAACTGCGGCGGCAACCATATGTTATGGCCATGGCCTAGAATCCTGGGGCCCAGTGGCTCTTGGGGGCTTTTCTCAGCACTTTGACCAGCGTGTGCATCAGTCCAGTGTAGCCCATTTTGACTCTCATAGTAACTTTTTTAAAAATCCAGTCCTTTACCAGTTGGAAAGCTCCAGTGAGGTGGCCTGATGAGAGGCTGCTTTGTCAATATAACACGCAACAGCCCTGATAATGTACATAACCCCAGTCTGGCGGGGATTGGAGCAGTGTAAATAGAGGTTAATGTGTGTTCTGTGTTTTCTCTAAAGTTCCTAACATAACAGTCTGATTAAAGACAAAATTCATTATAATGACAAGTCCCGCAAAAAATGTACATGCATGAATCATTTAGAAAGGAAGATATGTGGGTTAAAGCAGCAGTGCCCCCCTACCTTGCTCTGTTTTTTGTTCTCTGTGTTTCTGTGCCGCTGCTTCTATTATAAGCTGGATGTCCTCACCCTCCTCCTGGTCAGATGACTTACAGGCAATTCAGGATGTCACTAGAATTTTCTAGGTGCTGTTTGATTGTTATGCAAGATTCAGAATGCCCTTGAACTTCTGCTTAAATGCATAACTGGCTGCGTCCCCTTGCCTTGACAGGTGTTACTGATCCTTGACTAAATAGACAGTTGAATTTTTCTGAAGAAATTAAGGATTGGCCAATGTAGTTCTTCTACATAGTGAGCTCTTATTGTGTATGTAAAACATTAACTTTACACAGGTGTTTGAAGGTAAGTGTTTTGGCTCGTCTTTTATCAACACACAGAGGTATCTTATGAAGAGTGTCGAATTGTGTTAAAGGAGGCAGGTCTGTCTTGTGGTTGCTCATGGGTTGTGCTACTGGGAAAGTGGCTGCATCTTGATGACATATCTGCTTAAAAGGTGTTGGGCAAAGTAGGTGTCTTAGTTATTTTTCTCTTATTGCTGACACAAAACACCTGACACCCAAAGTTACAGGAGGAAAGGTTTATTTAGCTCACAATTTGTAGAAGTTTCAGTCCATAATCAGTTGGCTCTAAGGCAGGGTGGAACATGGCAGAGGGGCAATAGTTCATGATGGTGGAAAACAGCAAAAGCAGCAAGTTAGAGTGAGACAAGCCTCTTTCTGTGTAGGCAGTCTGCCGGGATTAGCTCGTGCCAGTCCAATCAGTGGACTGATCCACCAGTCACCCACCCTTAATCACACTCCAGATTCAGCCACCTCCAAAAAGCCTCTCTCTTTCTGTCTGTCTGTCTCTCTCTCTCTCTTTTGGTCTTTTTGAGACAGAGTTTCACTGTGCAGTTCAGGCCGGCCTTGGACTCACTTTGTAGCCCAGCCTGGCCTCAAACTTGCAGCGATACTCCTGCCTCAGTCTCCTGAGTGCTGGGATTATAGGCGTGTGCCATCATGCCCAGCAGCCACCTCCAGAAAAACAACCCTATGCCACATGGGGCTTTAGTGGGACATCTATATAGAAACCATAACAGTAAATTTGAAGCATTTTAGGATTTGATCTTAGGATTTGATCTAGGCATCTTGGAACTTTGTGGAGAGATTCTTGTTTTGAGATTCTTGTATTGTTTATAGGCTGATTCCTTCAAGGTTAAAGTGGTTGTTGCTAGGTTCTGTGAGGGCAGAAACTTGTGTTACCGAGGTACCCATGGTTCCTGGCTCTTAGCAGCCTTCCCTCAGATGCCTGTTGGTTACCTGAGCAAATGGGTCACACAGAGTCCTGGACAAGAAGGGTGTTTGGTTCGGGTGTTGGGTGATAGAAACACTGGGAGAGATCATAGTGCCAGCTCACTTACTTGATTAATTGAATTCTGAGTTCAGAGCTTTCCTTTGGGGCAGAAACGTAAAGGTGTGCCTTGTCCAGCCTGTTCTGGGTTGTGTCATATTTTTCACTACAGTGTTCTCAAGTAGAGTTTTAACTAGGCGGCCTCCAGGCCCCTTACATCTCTTGGGTTAGCTGCGACTGAAGGTTGAATTCGTTGCTTTGGAGTCTTAAGACTTACATTTGAAGCAGAATCTCAGTCACTTTCTAGCTGTGTGTGGACTTGGTTCCCACAGGTTAATTGTGACATTTCCTCATTTGTAAAATGAAGACAGTAACAGCTACTCTGCATGGTTGTGATTCCTAGGTATTATTTGCAAAGCCCTTACAGTTACCAGAAAGCGGGTGCCCTCCATGTCTGGCAGGCCTGGTAACATTCTCGTGTGCGGCTGGCTGTTGAGAACTTGCCGTAGGAGCTGTCACAGGGTAGGAGGGACGGGAGAAGGAAAGGGAGTGAGGACGCATAGGAGAAGCAAAGCGTATTGCCCCCTCTTGGTTCCACCGTGTGTGGCCCCAGTAATCATCTGTATTTCTAGTGCGAGCTAGCCGTCACTCTCATAAGGCTTAAGGGAACCAGAACCAAGTCTTGAAATGCCGTGAAAACCATGTTGGTCTTCTCTTTCTATTTGTTGGGATGTGTGCCTTCACCTACTCTGTGTCTGTGCCTTCGAACCCTCAGGTCTCCAGGCTTCGGGTTGTCACTGGTTGCTGAGACCACTAACGGCACCTTCCTCAGTGCTGAACTGGCCTCCAACCCCCAGGGCCAGGGGGCGGCAGTGCTTCCGGAGGACCTCGGCAGGAACTGTGCCAGGCTGCTGCTTGAGGAGATCCACAGGGTATGTGTGTCCTCAGCCTGTGTGGGTGCTCAGAGGAAAACAGTCTGCAAAAAGCAGTTCTGCGCCCTGCATTCCTGTTCTTCAGGGGTGTGAGCCAAGGAGTTAACCTGTGCCTGTGCTTTAAACAATTTCGCTTTAACTAGTTCAGTGCATCAGTTCAGCTAGTCAGTGAGCAGGAATCCAGCTTCACTGGTTTGGGACACAGAGCAGGTACCTTGCCTTGGGGGCCGAGGAGAGATCTAGAACAGAGGCATGGAAGAAAATGAAGGTTAAAAGAACACAAAGCAGGTAGGGTGAAGGTAGGGAACCGTTTCTCAGTGCCGCCAGTCTTCGTGGGAATGGGAAATCATCGCTTTCTGATTTTTCAAGAGAAACTCAAAATTTATATTTGTGTGTGGCAGTTGATTCAGATGCCAGATAATATCAAAAGGCTCTATTTTGCGGCGTGTTCTAGAGCATACAAGGATGTTTAGGGAAGGTAAGCCTGTGTCGCAGTACGCTGGGGGCTTTGGAAAGTGTGAGAATCTGGGACCAGAGACCGAGCGCTGCAGTGATGAAGACAGACCTGACCGTTTTGCTTCTGCAGCTCAGATCAACCTGCCTTCTCAGCGGCCATCGTCTTTCTGTGTCAGTTCATTCATACAAGCGGTACCTCAGTCTGCACACACTTTTACTGCTTCCCTAAAATAGGTGAACTGATGAAAGTAAGGAAGAAACTGTGAGGGAAGGGGAGCTGGCGGCAGGAGGAACACGAGGCCTTTGCTTGAAGATACAGTCTCTGAGATCCTGCCTACCTGAAACCTGGTTTCAAAATTCCAGTTAGTCTGTACCCTCTTTTTTTACAAATTTTTTTTCAGTACTGGGAATAGAACCCAGGGCCTGTGCGCTGAGCTACAGCCCCAGCCCTTTTTGTTTCGTATTGTGAGACAGTCTCCGTAGGTTGCCCCAGCTAGGCTCGCACCCATAGTCTTCCTCTAGCTGCTACAGTGCTAGATTACAGGTATGTGCTGCCACGTCTGCACTGTTTTGCCTTGGTTTTGCATCAGGAGGGCAAAGGCTTTTCCTACACGTACAGAGCCCGGTCAGGGCGTCTCTCTGCTCTGGGTGTCAGGCTTCACACTCTTCAAGACCACTAGTGAGACCTGCACTCGGGGTTGCTTGCTGTTTAAGGATATATAACGTTAGTAAATTGACTCTCTTCTACATCTGAGAGTGTTTTTTGTATCTTCATACTTATCTTTTTCTTCCTGGTTCTTAGTCATCTCTTTATTTCCAAGGAGTTTCTGTCCTGTTTGAAGTAACAAAAAAATCACATCCGAGTCCAGTGAATAAAATAGGTTAAGTGGGTTCAATAGCAGTTTTGTTTTTCCTTTCAGTCCTTCTTCTTGCATTGGTTCAGTTTGTCAGTCCCTGAGAGAGAGAAGCCCAGGTCATGGGTATTGCTCAGAAGGAAGCCTGCGGGCACCGTCTGCTCCCCAGATCCCAGTTATATGCCTGAAAATGTCTCCTTTGGAACAAGTGAGACAAGTGAGAATGAACTGTTTCAGAATTAATCAAAGTTAAATATTTGGAATGGCTCTATTTAGTGTCCAGTTAGTTAAGAATGGAAGACAAAGCGCCTACAGGTGTCCCCTCAAGAGGACTCCAGCCTCTGCTCTCACCACGCAGCTGGGAAGGGGTAGAGGAAAGAGCTGAAATCCTCAAGGTGCAAGTTTTCTGACATGGATTTTGTGCAAAGTCTGCCACAGACTTTTTTGGTGCTCAGTCAGTTCCTTTTTGATAGTAACTTAAGTCATTTTGGAGGGGGAGTCTGTAGTAACTGAAAGTTTGAGGGTAAACGAAGAGGTTGCTCTCCCTCTTTGTTCGTGAAATCTGCCATCTGCACACAAGGGGAAAAAAGCTGCATGTGGTGTTTGTGGGGGCTCAGGGAAACTCATTGTTGATTTGTGCAGGCTTGCTTTGCTGGTCCTGCGGTGGCTGGCAGGCTTCTGTCCCTTTCTAGAAGACCCTAGAAGAACTGAAAGCATCACATCACAGAGCATAGTGGAATCCCATGGGCGCAGCTGGAGTTTGGATTTCATGGCTCCATAAATAGCAGAGTGTTAGCCTTAGGGTGAAAGCACAGCCCGCCAGGCCATGAGAGGAAACACATACAGTCTGGGTTAGGGTATTATTATTTTCTTTTCTCTGATTGAGGTTTTCATTAAGCCATTCTATTGTTCCTGGGTCATATTTATTTTGTTTCATCGTTAAGAAAACTTTTTGTGTGTGTCTGTGATCTCTAATTAGTAGAAGGATTCAAAAACTCCACGTTTTTTTTGAATAATTCTTTACAGATCTGTGATGCAATGTGAGCAACAAAAACTCACCCATTTTGAAGGTGCTGTTATATTTACCAAAGTTTTAAGGCTTTGACCCAATTCCTCCTATTCATCAGTTACCACGTTTTCTCCATTCTGTATCAGGCTTGCTGGAAGTGCCCTTTTCTTTGTGTCTGTTTCCGTGCTCCATCCACTGCCCACCCTTCCTGCTTGCTCCCCCGCACCCACATTCCCATCCCTCCTCCATCAGACCTGGCTTGTGTGTGGAAACTGGCTGTCCTGCCTGCCGGAGAGGAAGACCTTTCCACCTCCTCTCCAGCCTGTGTCTCACTCTCCCTCCAAACACTGGTCTGATCTCGTCACTCTTCTGTCAGAGACTTCCCTGGCTCCTCACTTCCCTGAGATAAAAGTCAGAACTCTGGACTCAGTTAGCCCAGCCCTGCCTGAGTCTGGCCAGCCCACCTTCTCTGTACAGTTGGGCGCGGCTCCAGGCTGTGCCACACTGGCCCCAGCTCATTATTTCCTCCGTCTTGCTGCTTTCCTTCCTCCCGAAAGCCTGGCCATTTTTCCAGGGCTAGATAAAGTCTCTGCTTCCTAAAGCAGCCTCCCTCTAATGTTGGGTGGCTGACACCCTGCACCCCATGTCCCCACCATTCTGTGCTGCAAAGTTCTGTGCATGGCCCCTAACATATTTATTGTATTAAAATACTACTCTAATACCTGTATGAATTAGTTAAAAATAGTGCAGTAATAGCATAGTGATAGGAAACAGGTACTAAAGAGAATAGTTTAATTTTAGGGAATCTTCTGAAGGGGAACAGAATTAGTGTTTTTGATCAGATTTCCTGGGTTGTTTTTTTTTATGGAAAAGGAAGTTTTGTTCTAAATTTCCCTGAGTCAGATGAACATTGTTCCTGTTCTTTGTTAAAACTTAGGTAATTTAGGTAGACCAATAGATTTTCATCAAGGCCAGTAGTAAGATAAACTCCCTTTTCCCCCCTATATCCTTGTCAGGGCTCCTAAATAAAGTCTGACAGCTGGAGAATGAGTATTTGCATCAGAGAGTTGATTTGTTCCCTAACTTACATGCATTTAAAAAGAAGGGGTTTTTCCCTATAAATAGTGCTGGCCAGCTGTTCTGTTCTAGTCCAGCCTCAGATAGCAAAGTACCATGGGTTGGAACTAGATTTTTGTGGTGACTTATGCAAAGGAGTGAAAATTCCTGGTCATCCTGCTCACACACAGTATAATGTGAGTTTAAATTGTTGTAAATAAAGTTATGTCAGAAAGAATGATCAGAAATAAAGTCACAGATTTAATCCCCAATAGTGGGTAGACTCGAGTCAGCCAAAATGATTGAGAAAATGAAGACTGAAAGGAGAAAAACAACCAAAGCCATTGTGCCTCAGGAGGAAGATTTTGAAGAGAATTCTAGTCTGCTTACTGATTTGGAAGAAAAAAGAAGAGAAAATTCCAGGAATAATGGATAAATAGTAATAAGCGTGGGGAGCTGGCGAGATAGCTCAGTGACACAGCGCCTGGCTGGCAAGTGCAAGGTCCTGAGTTCGATTCCCGATACAAATAATAATAATAATATAAGAAGAAGACGGTACTACTACTACTAATAATAATAATAAAAGAAGAAGAAGCATGGAAGGATCTGACCATAGCAGCACTCCAGGTTCAAGGCACACAGGAAGAAGTAAAGAAGAGCTTCGAAGAGCATTGAGAGCAGTTTCTGAGAGTGTTATAGTGAGTGTAGGAGAGCTGAAAGAGTGTAAGATGCTTTAAAGGTAAAAAGCCTTTTGTTGTCAGATGGTGTTTTCTGAGGCAGATTAGACGAAGGTAAGCATCATTCACTAACCCCTTAGAATTCATCTACTAGGAGCCATTAGACCTTTTCTGCTTATACTTGATAAAATGGCCCACCTCTGCTCCAATTTCTAAGGGAAAGTTTTACTTTTTTCTAGATTCTCTTAAGGAAATTTGAATGTTCATTTTGATATCTCAGTTACTATAATCGCATCGGTTAACTGTTAGTTTATCCTCCTCAGGCTAGCTGATGCAATGCTTACTCTTCTCAGACTGTGTTCTGTGGGTGCTAATGTTCAGAGTATGTTTCTGGTCTCCCCCCTTGCATCACGTTTCCATTTCTGGTTTGTACAGTGATTAATCATTAAAGTGTTTGTATTTACAGGGTGGATGTGTAGACTCAACCAACCAGAGCCTGGCTCTGCTGCTTATGACCCTTGGACAGCAGGACGTTTCCAAAGTCCTGCTAGGACCAATTTCGCCTTATACGTAAGTTATTTTCTTTCAACTTTGTCACTCTGTCCCGTTTAATTTTGTACTTACACAAAATGACAGAGATGCGTTGTTCATAGCCTGTCATATGACCACCTGCTTGTATTGACCCTTTAATGAGCCAACACTTGCCACTCTTAACCTGGAGTTTATTTTTATACTTGTCTTCCTTTCTGACTTCCTCCCCAGCTGTCATTCCTGTGTAATTAAACTTGCATCATATATATTAGAAGGGCCAGGGATGTAGCTCAGTGCATAGGCGCCTGCCTGGCAAGTGCAAGGTCCTGAATTCGATTCCTGGTACCAAAAAAAAGATATATGTTGGACAGTTCTTTTGTCTGTGCTTCAGATTTTATTTCCATTTTTGTGGCAAACTTCTGATTCTCTACGGCTTGAATTTTGTTCTTAGTTTTTTAAATCCCTGTTTTCCATAGCAGTCTCACTTGCTGTGGTAAATGGGCTTTCTTTTAGATGACAGAGTATAAGCTGGCTGGAAAAGATGAAGAAGGGCAAAGTTCATGGTAATGCTACTAGGCTAGTCAGGAAATTATAGAGGTGACTTGGGTGTTTTTAGCAGAAATTGATTGCTGATTGTGTAAAGCAAGCATTCTCCAAAGTAGTCAGGCAGACGTGAATTATAAAGAGAACAATGTCAAGAAGAAAGAAAGAAAGAAAGAGAAAGAAAGAAAGAAAGAAAGAAAGAAAGAAACAAAGAAAGAAAGAAAGAAAAAAAGAAAAGAAAAGAAAAGAAAGAAAAGTGGGAGAGACCGACGGCGCAGTGAAAGAAGCATTTCTCACCTGTAATAGCGAGATGGATGAAAACCTGCCGGAGGACTGACACAGCGTGTGCGGCAGAAGCACACATGTGTGCACAGACTGCGCGGTGATTATATGCCATCTGTGGCAGTAGGCTGGGAGGGAGGAAGTCCTCAGCTAGACATGAGACTGAACTGTCCTTTTTCGGTTATCATGGTACCGATGCTGTATGTCTGAAAGGTACAGTACTGTGATAACTGAAGAATGGTGGTGCCATCACGTTGAGAAAGACAGGGCTGCAGCGAGCCCTGCAGCAGTGTGGCTGGCCTTAGGGCGTGGAAGCCAGGAGTCTGCAGAGAGGTTTTTTGGGGAAGGCTTTCTTTTATTTTTAATTCTTGAGTTGGTGATGGGGGAGGAGTTTTTGGAAGAGGAAAATGGAGGCGAATACATTCTGTTAGTAGTGGGGGAGACTGATAAGCAGGAGCCGGCGAGCAGCACAGTATCTCTTGATAACACGTGTAAAGTATTTCACAGGGCAGGAAACCTAAACTTGAGTAATCCTTGGTGACGTGCTAGCAGCAGGAGTCAACACTGCTGAAGTAGACTTGGTGGTGGAGTGTTTGGAGAGGAGGCAAGAGCCGGGGAGCAGCGGCCCACGTGCAGAGATTCATTTCCCATAGAGTGTGCTGCAGCTCCTGGTAGCCGGACCACCCTGAGTCCCACTGGCTTTTCTGCCGGTGTCCTTGCTGCTGAGATCCCCGCACTGCTTTGGGGCCATAGAAGGCCTTACGGCTCACACGGCAAGCCTTGTCTCAAAATGTGTATGGTTCTGGGACATGGGCTTTGGCAGAACATTACATGAGAATGAAAAAAAAAAGAAAAAAAAAAAATATATATATATGAGAGACACTTTTTTTTTAACTTTTGGAGAATTTCTCCAGGGCATTTTATACTCTATGTAGACCCTCAGCTTGACTGATGATGGTAAAATGTGATGGGACATTTTTAAAAGTTCCTGTGTTAGATCGGCATGGTAATGCACCCCTGTAACCAATCCCAGCATTGAGGCAGGAAGATCACTGAGAATTCAAAGCCAGCCTGGGGTAGCGAGTTCAAGGCCAGCCTGAACTACATTGTGAGACCCTGTCTCAGAAAACCAAAAAGACAAAATAAAAATACAATAAAAGTTCCTGTGTCATCCTTAGCACACCTTTCACCAAACATTAATTGCAGTGTTTCTAGAAACCTTGCCTACATGGCTATAGCTCCAGTTCGGCCACATTTCTCCTTCACTGTAATTACCTGCCTCCACGTTAAACACAGAGGGGCCTGTCACAGGGCAGGAAAGGGTAGCCTCCCTGGTATAAGGGGGAGGGAGGGAGGAAAGAAGGGTATTTTCAAGAAAGCTGTATTTCTGCCTTTTATCATCATGGAAGGTTTCCAGTGGCCCAAAACAATCAAGGTGGAAGGCGGTACTTCATCGGCATAATTACACCCTGTTCATGGGTGCATTTCAGGGTGAAATGGGACTGTCCATAGTCGGGGCCTCCTTGATAGAGGGATCAGTTTATTCTAGTTGGATGCAAGAGCTTTGGAGACCAAAATATTACGTTTATTTTTATGTGCAAAGTCATTGGACTCTGTTTTATGGAACTTCACGTTTCTAAAGAAAATTAGAAGCAAGACCCTCTTTGGTTGTTAAAAAATGTATTTCTTCTGGCAGGTTGTACATGTTTTGATTTGTATAAATAGTGCTTTTAATGTCTGTTTGCAGAACATTGGGATGAAGAGGGATGCATTTTCTTTCAGTGTGGCTTGCAAATTCTCTCTGGAAAGTGTGTCTGTGTTCCCTTTCCTCTGCCCACTGTCTTGCTTCAGGAGGTGGTTGTTAGTGGTTTTCTGACGACTTGAGAAAGTCAACCTTCATGTGTGAAAATCTTGAGAGAGGCCAAGGACATTTTTTTTTACTAGAATAAAATAGTTTTGCCTGATTCATTGCTATGTGGAGAATCTATTTCTGTTAAATTCGTTGAGGGTTTTGTTTTTTGGTGGTTTATAGTTGGTAACAGTGGCTCAGTGCTGTGCTCAAAGAGCTTAATTTTACAATTTATACTTTAAGAATTGGATTAACAGCAAGAAAAATGGCTATCAAAGAGTATCTTAGCGCTTTTAGGAACTGGATGGGACAGAGGATGCCATGGCTCTGCAGCTTGCCAGTGTGCAGACCTTGGAGTCTGGCCTGTCTGGGCTTGAGCCAGAGCGCTGCCATGAAGCCACTGGCGGACTGTGATGTGGTCTGAGCGTCTCTGAGTTTTATCTGTGGGTAAGGTGATGGCTCTGGAGTCATGGGCTGTGGAGCCCGTGTGAAGTTTAAGTGAGTTTCAGTGCTTCGTGCTCCTGGCGGCATGTCTGAGGAGCTCAGTCATTACTGGAAGCCTTGATTCCTGCCTGGACACCCCGGCCTACTCTCTTCTCCTTTTGGAAGCTTATGACTAACTTCCTTCAGTCACACTGACTTTGTTTAGTAACGTGACTGGAGGAAGTTAGTCATACAGTCCGTGCACGTATCTTATTTGCTATTCCTAAGGTTCCCAAGAATTCTGTAAGGCAGCTGTTTATTAAACAAACATGGTGCTTACTATAAGCTAGATGTTGTTTCCTTTTTCCCCCCGTTTCTTTTGCTTTTGCTTTGCTGAGCTGAGGATTGAACCCAGGATCTCATGCATATCAGAGAAGCACATTTGGACAGTCTGCATTTTTCATCTTCAGCCCCCATACCGTTTTATTGTTCTCTTTTGGGTTTTTTTGGTACTGGAAATTGAACTCATGTTCTTGCACTTGCCAGGCAGGTGCTGTGCCACCAAGCTGTATCCCCTGCCCCTACCCTGTTTTAAGTGCTTTAACTCTAGTTTTCAGCATAACCCTATGGGTGTATAAGGCAGATACTATTATGCACTCGGTCTTACAGGTGATAGGCTTGAGGCATGCAGAGATCATGTCACATTCTAGAGACACACACACAGGAAGTGGGGTTCAGACCAGGACAGTTTCATCTGGGATTGCTGCTTCCCTAACCACTGGGTCTTATGTAAGATCTGGGATTCCATCCATTATCATTGAACTCCCAGCACTTTGCCTGAGGCAGGATGCCATGCTGCATTTTTTCAGAAAAGTTCTTTCAAATTTTGTTGTAAATGGATCTCTTCCTGTCTTTAGTTGGAAGTTGGAAACAGACCCTGCCACTGTTTTTTCCTGACAGCTCTCTATTACTTGTGAAAGTTTAACTCTCCTTGTTGAACTCTGGCTGATGAGAGTGTCTTGGACCACCTAGGTGATCAGTCACCCATGGGAAGACCCACAGATTTGTTTAGTGGTTTCACTGCTCTCTGTACATTCACCCAGGACCTTCTAACTTGCATTTGTGCAGTGCGTTACAGTGCACGTTTCCATACTGTGTCACCTTTTTTATGTTTGAGCCCCACTTTTCAGATGAAACAGGTGTCAGTTACTTGCTTGTGGTAAGTTCTTGAACAAACTTGGCCTGTGAGCCTTATCTGCCAACAATGCCGCCAGCCCGATTATTTCCTATCACCTCTGTAAATAAATCCAGTAACTTAGACGGGCTTCAGAAAAATTGTTACTGGCCGGAAAAAAAAAAAAAAATTACCGGTATATTTAAAAGCTGCCAAACAATGGCTACAGAGGACCCTATCAGGCAGATTCTTTTCTTACCTTCAGATCTTTGGCCTTAAGTTCCAGAGCAGCTGCTTAGACCTGGAATGCAGGGATCCCGGCTCTGCCCTGTATTGAAGGGGCCTGGGGATTAGGTGGGGTGGTGGAGCAGAGGGCAGACTTCTGTGGTGGTTTCTTACTTCTGAAGGGGACCTGGACGGACCAGCGTCTAAGGGTCAGGCTCCTGCAAGCCCTGGGTGGCTGGGAGACAGTGGGCAGGTGGCTGTGAGCCTGATGGCCTTTCCTTGTTGACCAGCAGTAGCAGTGGGGACGACCCATCTTTTGAAAATACACAGGGAAAATTATCTCTGTGCTCCAGAATTCTGTGAGACCTGCCTATCAGGTGACCTGGAAGCTTTCATAGAAAAGTCTATTTTTGTTTGTTTTCTGAAAAGAAATGATTTTGTTCTTTAAAAAAAGGGGGGTGCTCTTTGCATATCTAACTGTTTAAGAGCTAAAGTCCTTCACACAGGTGTCGCACGGAGGCCCAGTTGCCCGGGATGGCTCTT